ATACAGGTGGAGGAGAGTAATACAGGTGAGGGAGAGAAGGTGAGGGAGAGTAATACAGGTGAGGGAGAGTAATACAGTGAGGGAGGTGACAGGTGGGGGAGAGTATACAGGTGAGGGGAGAGTAATACAGGTGAGGGAGAGTAATACAGGTGAGGGAGAGTAATACAGGTGAGGGAGAGGCAGGAGGGAGAGGCACAGGTGAGGGAGAGTAATACAGGTGGGGAGAGTAATACAGGTGAGGGGAGACAGAGTGAGGGAGGTACAAAGGTGAGGGAGAGTAATACAGGTGAGGGAGAGTAATAAAGGGAGGGAGAGTAATACAGGTGGGAGGGAGACAAGTGAGGGAGACAGTGAGGGAGTGAGACAGGTGAGGAGAGTAATACAGGTGAGGGGAGTAATACAGGTGAGGGAGAGTAACAGAGAGGAGACAGGCGAAACAGGTGAGGGAGTGAGACAGGTGAGGGAGAGTAATAGGTGAGGGAGAGTAATACAGGTGGGAGGGAGACAGGTGAGGGAGACAGGTGAGGGGAGAGGGAGACAGGCAAGGAGAGAGAGGGAGACAGGGAGGAGGGAGACAGGCAAGGAGAGGAGACAGGCAAGGGAGAGAGGGAGAGGCAAGGGAGAGAGGAGACAGGCAAGGGAGGAGGAGACAGGCAAGGAGAGAGGGAGACAGGCAAGGGGAGAGGGAGACAGGCAAGGAGAGAGGGAGACAGGCAAGGGAGAGAGGAGACAGGCAAGGGAGAGAGGGAGACAGGCAAGGGAGAGAGGGAGACAGGCAAGGGAGAGGAGACAGGTAAGGAGAGGGAGAGGGACAGGCAGAGGAGACAGGAGAGAGAGCAAGAGGGAGAGAGGGAGGAGACAGGTAAGGAGAGAGGAGACAGGTAAGGGAGAGAGTGAGACAGGTAAGGGAGAGAGTGAGACAGGTAAGGGAGAGAGAGTGAGACAGGTAAGGGAGAGAGTGAGACAGGTAAGGAGGAGTGGGACAGGTGGAGAGAGAGAGGAGACAGGTGAGAGAGAGAGTGAGACAGGTGAGAGAGAGCAAGACAGGTGAGAGAGAGAGAGAGGAGACAGGTGAGAGAGGGGACACAGGTGAGGAAAGGTGAGGCCGATGATAAAAGGGAGAGAAGCAGACGCAGATAACTTGGAAGGAAAATGGAATGAGTAAGGAGGAGGGAAACACGAAATTAAAATGAATGATAAAGGGGGAATGGATGAGAGGGAAGGAGGGAAGGGCGAGAGGAAAAGGTAAGAGAAGGAGGGAGGGAGGAGGAGGGAGGGAGGAGGGGAGGGAGGGGAAAGAAGAAGGAAGGAAGGAAGGAAGGGGCGAGGAGATGAAAGGAAGAAGAATGAAGAAGGAAGGAGTGGGTGAAGGAGGGTCGAGAGGAGTGCGAAGAAGGAAGGAGAGAGAGGAAGGAGAGGGAGAGCGGGGGCAGGTTCAAGAGCAGGGCACTGCCACGGCCCAGGCAGACACCATGGCCACCACCACACATGGCCACCACCATGGCCAACAAACGCCGGGAAGGTGGGGAGGGATGGAAATAAGGGGGAGGCCGAGGAGGAATTGGCCGGGAGGGAGAAAGGAAGGAGGGAGGGAGAGAGAATGGAGGGAAGGAGGATAGAGGGGGAGAAGGAAGGAAGGAAGGAAGGAAGGAGAGAGTGGTTCAGGTAAAGATACAGCTGGTAGGGAGAGGTGGTGGATGGATCAAGTGGGTGGGGAAAGACAGGTGAAAGTAATCATAGGGGAAGTCAGAGGAGGGGAGAGACAAACAAGGGAAGGAGAGGGAGATATACACACGTGAGAAGAAGTGGGAAGGAGCCAAGACAAGAGAGGAGAGAGAGGAAGAGAGGGAGGTAATGAGGGAAGGGAGGGGAGAAAGTGGGGAGGGAGGGGTGGAGGGGAGGAGGGGTGGAGGGGGAGGAGGGGTGGAGGGGAGGAGGGAGGAGGGGTGGAGGGGAGGAGGGGTGGAAGGGGAGGAGGGGTGGAGGGGAGGAGGGGAGAAAGAGGAGGAGAAAGAGAGGGGGAGGAGGGGAGGAGGGGAAGAAGGGGAGAGGAGGGGAAGAAGGGGAGAGGAGGGGAAGAAGGAGAGGAGGGGAAGAAGGGGAGAGGAGGGAGGAGGGGGAAAAAGGGAGGAGGGGGAAGAAGGGGAGGAGGGGGGAAGGAAGGAGGAGGGGAAGAAGGGAGGAGGGGAAGAGGGGGAAGAGGGGGAAGAGGGGAGGAGGGGAAGAGGGGGAGGAGGGGAAGAGGGGGGAGGAGGGGAAGAGGGGGAGGAGGGGAGGAGGGGAGGGGAGGGAAGAAGGGGAGGAGGAGGAAGAAGGGAGGAGGAAGGAAGAAGGGGAGGAGGAGGGAAAGGGAGGAGGGAATCAGGGTGAAATGTGCACAAAAATACAGGGAGATGTGAGAAGGAAGAGGAAGAAGAGAAAGTGGAGAGGAAGGAAGCAGGAAATGTAAGAAGGAGGGACAAGATGGGAGAAGAGAGGAGAGGAGAGAATGATGATGAGGAGGAGGAGAGAGTGAAGAGGAAGTAGAGAGAAGGAGAACAGAGTGAAAGAAGGAAATGGAAGAGAGGGAGAAGAAACAAGGGTAGAGATGGAGGTCAGGAAACAGTAGTTAAAATGGTAAGAGACACAACGCGAGATAATGTCAAGAGGTGAACCATAAACAAGAGTAAGATGAGGGGAGGAAGATAGGGTGGGGAGGGGGGGAGGAAGATGGGGGAGGAAGATGGGGTAGGGAGGGGAGGAAGATAGGGGGAGGAAGATAGGGTAGGGAGGGGGAGGAGATGGGGTAGGGGGGGAGAGGAAGATAGGGTAGGGAGGGGAGAGGACGATAGGGTGGGGATGGGAGAGGAAGATAGGGTAGGGAGGGGAGAGGAAGATAGGGTAGGGAGGGAGAGGAAGATAGGGTAGGAGGGGGAGGAAGATGGGGTAGGAGGGGAGAGGAAGATGGGGTAGGGAGGGGAGGAAGATGGGGTAGGAGGGGGGAGGACGATGGGGTAGGGAGGGGGGAGGACGATGGGGGTAGGAGGGGGAGGACGATGGGGTAGGGAGGGGGAGGACGATGGGTAGGAGGGGGGAGGAAGATGGGGTAGGAGGGGGGAGGAAGATGGGGTAGGAGGGGAGAGGAAGATAGGTAGGGAGGAGAGGAAGATGGGGTAGGGAGGGGAGAGGAAGATGGGGTAGGAGGGGAGGACGATGGGGTAGGGAGGGAGGACGATGGGGTAGGGGGGGGGAGGACATGGGGTAGGGAGGGGGAGGAAGATGGGGTAGGGAGGGGGAGGAAGATGGGGTAGGGAGGGGAGGAGAGGAAGATAGGTAGGGAGGGAGGGAGAGGAAGATAGTAGGAGGGGGAGGAAGATGGGATAGGAGGGAGGAAGATGGCATAGGAGGGAATGGGTAGGTCTTGGGCTGCTAATACACACATCACGTAATCCGCACACAAGTATCATTAACTTTTATTTAATCTTGAATAAAAAAACAAAAACCAAACAAGTCAACAACATCACTATTATTCCATCACTAAACACAATTACAACATCAAAAACAATAACTGGATATAATAAATGAAAGTAATTCTCAAATGTCAATCACCACTCTGCGAATATTGGATGTGATTTGACAAGTTTATTCCTTCGAGTTTAAGACGGTTTTGAAGAGTTTATTCATTCGCGCGCACTCCAACTTACGCTCTTGACACACTTACTGGCGTCTAGGTTCCCGCGTGTACAATATTTCATCCAGGAACTTAATATCTTTAACCATAAAAGGTGGAAGAGGTTAAGGTCAGAGCCAGAGTAAAGTCTCGTCACCAAACACGGACAAACAAATATATGTTCTTATCCTCCTCCTACCTCCTCTACCATTCCTTACTCAACCCTCCTCCTTCCCTTTTAATTTCATTCTTACACCTTTATTTTATACGTATCTTCCTTCGTTAACCTTCCCTCCTTCCTTCAACAATTTTCTATATGCTAATATTACGTAACCTTCCCTTCCTGCCTTCTCTTCCTCCCTCCACCATTCATTATTTTCCATTTATCTAAACTACGAGATGGCAGTTTGCTAGCTAGTTACAATGTCGACCTCTAACTTGCCAAACAGAATGCTTAATTATCATTTTTATTTCAAATTATTCACCAACATTCTTCATTTCCTCTTTATCTCTTCCACGAGCAATTAATTATCAAAAATATTATCGTTTTGGTTTTCCTCATTATTGGTGTCCTGTATTTTGTTCCTTTACCTCGCTATTGCTCTCCTAGTACCATTTATCCTACACAACCTTTTTGGGTAAATTTTTACAAGTTAACAACTATGGATTATTTTCCGATGGTTTAGACAATGTTAAGACACTTTTCTTCTATGATGTTTCCCTGGCAAATGACTTAAATATACCCGGGGATCCAGGGGGGCGGAACTCCCCGGTTAGGAAGTTAGATTAGGCAATTTGGTTAATATATAGGACTAACCCGCCAGGGCTGCATAGCGCCGATGCGGCAGTATCAGCTCACGTCCAGAAAATACCTCAAATTTTACCATATCATAAGTTATTTCTGTTTAATAAACCGGGAGGGCAAGGTTAGGAAGGTTTGGTCTGTTCTTCATAGCCACAAGTGTTAAGTAGCATTTATTTAAAAAAATGTTAATTTTCAACATGTTTCCACAAACTACCAAACTACAACAGTGTCCACTATGGTATAACATTGAAAATCCGGCGTTTTTATAATTGTTTTCAATCAAGTTCGCTCGCGGGTTCGTCCTATATAATTACCGGTAATTTGAAGTTATTGCGAGGGAAAATTGTCTTAACATTATCTAAACCATCGACAAAATACATTACTCAACAAAAAATCAAAGGTTGTAAACTTGTAAAAATTGACCCTTTAGAAAAAGTTTATATTCGTCCACCTGTTATCCCAAACCATAAACCCCAATTAAACACACCTGTATATTTCTCACATTAAACAGTAGTACTATGAAGTTAAATAACTCATTTACCTTACCTTCTGCCGTATCACCATTCAATCCTGATTTATGGTCTTGCGTTATAGATTACTTCATATACGTTTCACTACACAATTTTCAAGTATTCCTTCACCGATATCCACGTTCTAATTTATTATTCCCAATGCGTATATTCGTGCACCACTGAGTAATGTGTTCACTATCAGGGCGAATGAAGTGTGGGTGAGGAGGCGTGAGAGCGAGGGTGTCTGGAGCCAGTCAAGTACGTTGCCAGATACCTGTATTACTCTTGCCCGGTGGTGGTCATAATAATAATGCATAATTATAACAAGAACCCAGTAATATTGAGGTCAGAGATCCTTTAGCACTTAATATGTAACTGATTAAATATGGATGTTTGATAATATTATAAATGTCTTTTAAGTAACGTTTCTGATTATTGTTTCCGAAATATTTTCATTGGGGGCACTTTTCTAGTAGAGATATGATTGGCTGATATTTGGATTGGTCATACGCTGGCCAATCACATGGCATATTCCGCTTGTTAAAGGTAAAGAACTAGTAACAACGTTGTTTACATCTTAAAAATGATACAAATGGTCGTTCTATTTTTAACTTTCACCACATGCAATTTTACTCATTTCTAAAATAAATTCGTTATCTATAGTTACTTTCATACTCTGATAAAAATAAACTTCACACATATACTGAACAGATCATAGTACCTATTCCAGGATTAACTATTCTAGGTTTAACAAATTATGAAAACTTAGAATTTTACAAAGAAGATAATAATAAAAACCAAGTTGTTATAAATCATGAATACAGAAAAGAAGTATTTGTCCCCAGGTAAACAAAAACATACTCACTTCCTGCATGGCACAAAAGAACTATGTATTTTAATGTTACTTTTTATAATAAGAATAATTTGGTGGATTCGGAAAATTTCTTCGTCATTTGCATATGTATATTGCGGTAGTAAATTCGTTTTATCAGAGGAAGAAAGTTTCAGAAGTTAGTGCTCTCCTTGTACTCTACCCAGCCTCTCTCCTAGCAGCCCCTCTCTCAGTACTCTCCCAGCATCACTCCTAGCACCTCTCCCAGCAACCCACCACGATCTCTCTCTCAACACTCAGCACTCTCTCAGCACCCCACCACCATCGTCTCAGCACTCTCCCAGCATCACTCCTACCGTCTCTCCCAGCACCCCCCCTCCCCGCCGCTCCCTCACAGCATCAGCAGTTTCCCCGGCGGGAAGTTGCAGGTTAAGCAGCGCGGAAAATAACACTCATCAACAGCTTCTCATCACCTCCACACCCCCCTCCCCTCTCCATCCACTCCCCCCCTCCTTCTAACCCTTCCCCTTCCTCCACCATAACGCCTTGAACACTTCCTTACTTTATCGGGGAAAGAAAAAAGGCCCTACTTGGGATAGCGAAACCTAACCTAACCTAATCTCACGTCACGTAACCCAAGGTTTAAAGATGCTAACCTAACCTAGCCTAACCTCACATAACCTAACCTGACCTAATCCCACATAACCTAATCTAATCCTACATAACCCAACTTAATCTCACATAACCTAACTCTAACGTAACCTCATAATAACCTAACCTAACCTAGCATGACCTAACCCTACATAACCTAATCTAGCCCAACATAACCTAAACTAACCTAACCACATATAACCACCCTAACGCAAACCTAACCTAACAAAATATACATTGTACCTGTATACCCTTGTAAACTAACATTCTATAAATATATTTCAAAGTGAATGTAAACAAAGGCGACATAAAGAGGCCATTTATAAATCATGGCTAACAATATACAACAATAAGGCTTATTTATACAGTGTACGTGGTTAATACACACGTGTGCTTCTTTAATAAGTCTATATTTTATCACAAGTTAGGCTCATCAGGTTTAAAAAAATATTTACGTAGAATAAACACAAACCGAATATCAGTTAACAAATCAATAACGAACTTAAGTGTGTGTGTGTGTGTGTGTGTGTAGATAATTGATTCATGACTAATCTAGAAACTTAAATCAGATTATTACTTACAAGACACTACGTTACATGCATCGAGAAACACTTCCCTACAGACTGAGAAATAAAAACAATGACTAAGAAGTACGAGTGTGGGAGGGCTGACGAGCTGCAGTGTAATCCTCAGTTACTTGCTAGATAAAACAAACAACTGCACACACGTTTATAGGATCTGTTTATTTGTACTTCTAAATACGAATAAAGATAATACCAATAAACTTTTGATGCGTAACTAAAAAAAAAAAAATAACAAAAGCAGAATGAAAGCTAAGACTAAACCTTCACTCTCAAATGCTTATCATGATTTGTTTTGACTAGGCTTTTAACTTAATCGGATTAATCTTACGGTGAAACACGTCAACAACTAAACACTTAAAACACGTACTCCCTTTAGGTCCATACGGTACATTAATATATACGTCAACAACTAAAATATTAATGTAAATTCTATCTTGTTGATGTTTGGTTGGGGGGTTACACATGACCGCTCAGGAATGATAGAGACGTTGGGAGCGGGATTTTCAAACTAGCTTTCAAACTAGTCAGTCAAGTCACATGACCACAACCTGCCTGCAACACACCCACCTACCCATCTCCAAAGTCACCTAACGCAGCTAGCACCCCAATCCTATTATAAACATTAAAAAACTCAAATCCAGAAAATAGTCCATATATCGCCAAAAACAATATATAATTGTGGTCTATAATTTCAAATAGGAACTGCTATACGTAAGAATGGGTTAAAATAGCGGCGAATAGAGACGAAAAAGCCAACATGGCACTACTAGCTAAGTGCCCAAGGGCGGTCTTTAAACCTAACCGTCCACTCACATACCACAACACACTGGCCGTTTAAACCGAGCCACACGTGTAAACTATCATCTTGAATTCTTATACATGTTTATATTAATGTCTTTATTTTACATCGATTTTTTGTAAATGTCTAAATATTCACAATTATTTTTAAAAGTTTATTGCATTAAATTTCAAACGTGTTTATCGACTCTGCATTCTTAAACACTGGCTAACTTCAAACGATTTTATTCAACTGCGGGGAACCTTTAGAAATCAGAATTTAATACATTTAATGCTATTTATAGAATCATATTTTTATTCCTATTCATAATTCCGTGTTTTTGTTGCGTTTACAGATTCATGTTAGATCAATATATATGCAAACTCACATAATAAACGTCAAATCCACTCTTTAAAATACGCTAAAATTCATTCAAAATAGCTAGAAAGTTCCTGTATATTCCATTTTACCAATATAATTCGTTACGTAATATATAACTGAATAAATAAAAACTATTGAAATGAGGCGCGTTGGACTCAAGATCTTCATTTTTTAGTCTATTTTCTTTATAATCTGCAAATGCAAGTAATATTAACAATTAAGTGTTGATCTAGAATGATATCCGAAGTCGGGGATGTAAGAAATAGGATCTGAAATATATTGATAACGTAAAAGTTTTAGTGAAAATGATAAAAACGATTAGTGACGCTCAACCCCTGGCGTGACTACACCAATCACGAACATACTTTGCTTTGGCCCAGTTGCAAGCTTAGAGTCAATAGAGTACAGTACCCGTAGCTTACTGCAGTGCATTGAAACTGGTCTGCCAGATCTGTGTACAGGACGGCCGCCGACGCCTGATGAGCTGATTCTAATCCAGAGACACAAGGGAAAAATGTCAAAATCTGGATTATCTGACTACTTACAGAAATATAAATTATAGTCTTTAATGCTTAATTCATATATTGATAATTATTTAAAACTGCAATGAGATAATACATTAATCTTACGTCAGCCAGGAAACATATCCGGCTCCATGATACATTCTCACTAATATATATTTTTCCATAATTCATATTTACTTCTTACTCTTGAGAATCTTTTAATGTTTGTAGTTGCCAAAATAAATATATATAATGTCGAATATAAATTTGTGTCCCGAGCTACAGATCACTGGTTCATACCCGTTGCCTAATAGTAGAGCAACAGGGACCAGCTTACACCCCCTCCAGATTACAATTTCTCCATAAAACAACATCTGGTAACCGTATGTGTTGAACCTGTCTCTAAACCAAATCTGATAATTAAAAAAAACAACAAATGTATTAAAACATTTATTCGCTAAGTTGGTTTATGATGGTTGAGGATAGAAGCAATATACTAACAACAAAATAACTCAAAACAAACTCTTTACATGATTTCGTATACATATACTTCTTCTTAGTACGAAATTATAGTAATATTTATCCCAGCTCAAGTGAAGACGAAACCAAACAAAAACTAGTGCCAATAAAAAGCCCGCCAGCCACTAATCATTCGTCACGGTCACAAAAAAAAAACACGGGAAAAGTGGACTTACCGGGTGGGTGGGTGGGTGACAGGCCGTCAACACACAGGTGGGACGCTAACAGCTTCACACCTAAACACCATGTAAACACACTGAGCGTACTATATGTTGTTTTAGAGACAATACAAGTAAACTAGATACATAAAGACACATATTACAAAACGTTAAGCACAGGAAATATAATTTGTACTTTAAAAACACTGAATACGCTATCTGTATTATTTAACAAGTAATGACAATTTTTAATAATAATATAAAATGTAACAAAAAGCAAACGAAGATATATGCGATTAAAACAGGGGGTAGGACACACACACACACACACACACACACACACACACACACACACACACACACACACACACACACACAGTACCGAGTCATGATTAGTATGTGCGTGTCCACCTGTGTGCGCGTCCACCTGTGTGCGTGTCCTGGGTAATAAGTGTTCATGTCTTTGTACAGATACGTGTGTGTATGTGTGTGTGCGTGTTTGTGAATTTGCAAATGAGTAAGACTGAGTGTGGTGAGTGTATGAGAGACTGAGTGAAAGTGAGTGAGTGAGTGAGTGAGAGTGTGGTGAAGGAGTGAGTATGATTAAGTGAGTGCGGTGAGTGAGTGAGTGTGGGGGAGGAGTGTGGTGAGTGTGTGAGACTGAGTATAGTGAGTGTGTGAGAGTGTGGTGAAAGAGTCTAACACCACCTTCCTGCACTATAAATAACACACCACTAACCTTTTCCTTGACTAAAATCCGGACCCTGACTTCCGCTGTTACGTCTACTAGCCCCTCCCCTC